GTATGTGACAGAGGGACCAAAGAGAGCTGTTCCCTCCCCAGCATGAACCCATACCCAGAACATGGGAACAGCTGTCCAGGCAGCAGCGGGTGGCTGGAGAGGGAGGCAGAGCCCCGTCCGCGGGGCCTCACGGCCACACACCACGGGCCACCTTGGGGCCCACACATGTGGACCCCGGCCCTAAGGTGGGCCTCCAGGTTGTGCCCCCCGAGACCCCATCCAAGTTCGCTCCCACCCCACCTCTGCCTTGTCCCCAAGTATTTTCCAAGCCATTGTCTCGTGATGAATAGCACTTTAATGTGGGTATTAAAAAATATGGGTAAATGTTTAATGCTTGCAAGCTGTGTTTCATTATTGATGCTCTGCTTGAGAGCCCAGCAGGCAGCTCAGGCCGGGCGGGGGCTCAACAGAGAAGTGATGACGCAGCAGCCCTGTGAGGCAGCCATCTGCCAGGCCCCCCCCACCCCCGGGCGGGGACAGCCCCCGTGCCCGCTCACGACAGGCACCTAGGAGGCAAAGTGGGGAAAGGAACTTGGCCTCTGGGTCTGGATCCACCCTTCCTCGTCCCCTGGGCAGCTGTGTGACTGGGCCTCTCTGCCTGGGGGTACAGGCTTGTATGAGGACTCAGGATGCCGCGGGAGGAGCCTGGGGCCGGGCGCAGGGAGACTGAGGCCGCCTGTGTGGATCGTGCCACAAACTCGGGGCTGAGTGAAAAGTGGGCCCCTTTCCTTCCTCCCTCACCTTCCTCATGCAGGAGGAAGAATCCTGCTCAGGTGTCCAGAGCTCACAAGGTACAGCCCAGCCCACCGACCCAGACTCGCCTTCCCCTAAAATGCCCAGACGGTGCCCTGAGCCCGGTGAGCACATGCAGACGTGAGCCACTGACCTTTCCATCACCCCCGAACTGCCCCAAGCGGACTCATATAACACCCTCTGCACGGTGCCCGGCGTGTGCTTAGGGCTCCCCGGGAGCTAATACTTTATTATTCCTGCCTCCTGGAAGCTTCATGACCCAGCAGTCTGGAGGCGTCTTCCTTTTCTGCAGTCTACAGTGACCTTGGGATGAGACATCAAAGACCGGGTGAGGTGACAGGTGACCCCCACCGCCACTCCCCCCCACTTCCTGCCCCTGCCAGTCTGCAGGGCTGGAGCCCCCTTCGATGGAGCCCTGTGAGCCGCTGCCGCAGGCCTCCAGGCTCTGTCCAGCGGCCTCCTGGGGTGGGAGAGACAACCCCCCTGCAGCAGGTGTAGCTGCGGACATCCAGAGCACAGCGGGCGGGGCATGAAGGCTAGATGCCAATTGTGCCGCCGCTGCCGCTCCTCCATGGTCCCTCTCCCCGGCTCCTCCCCTCCTTTTCCCTCCCCTCCCGTGGTAGTTTAATTAGCGGTGCTCAGGGGGAGACCCCTTGGTGTGATGTGTTGTGGCTGACCCTTCAGGCTGTCCTGGCGGCTTGGGCGTCTCCTGAGGTCTCCCTGGACCGGGCAGCCAGGTCCTGGGCGATAGGCTGAAAATGTACCGTCAGGGCAGCTGCTCTTTGCAGACCAGGCTGGCACAGCATGCCGGGGCACGCCCAGGAGCAGCTAAGGGATGTGCTGGAATGGGGCAGAGGAACGTCTCCGGGGCTGTTCACGAAACCTTGGGTGGAGGTCAGCGCAGCTCCTCCATGCGGCAATGTGCAAAAGTGATTCTTGGTATGAGGGACGTGAGGGTCACAGGCAAGGCCCTGCCCTTTGTAGCTCATGTTCTGGTGGGAGAGACAGCAGGGGACCCAGTGAACAATTCCATCAACCAGATGACTCAGGTGATGAGAAATGCTTAGAAAGAAACAGGACTTCCCTTAGAAAGGGCTGGTGGCAGAGGGGTGCGCATGGGACAGAGGCTTCCCCTGAGGCTGGTGTTGGAGCTGAGATCTCCATGGCTGGAGGGAGCCAGATGTGCGCTGGTCCCTGGGAGGAGCTGCCCAGGCCAGGGCAGAGGTCAGGAACAGAAGAAACACAGGAGAGGCCTGCACATCGTGGGTAAAGGAGGACTCATAAGAGCTGAGGTTGTGAGGAGCTGACCAGAAAGTCTGAGGGCCTGGGGGCTGTGGTCAGGAGCTGGGTTTATTTAGATCCAGCAGGAAGCCGCTGAGGAGGGCCATGCTCTGATTAGGACTTTTTAAGAGGCGCCCCAGTTGGTGCATGGAGGGTGAATGGTGGGTGAGAGGAGACACAGGGAGACCAGTTAGAAGCTGGCTTGGAACTGACCAGGCAAGAGAGGGCTGACCCTTGGCCCAGGGCTGAGACGGGCCAGGAGCCAGGTGTGCCCTGAAGGTAGAGCCCCCGGGCTTGTTGGTACACTGGACAGAGGGGCCCAGAGGATCAGGGAGGACTCCTTGGCTTGAGCTGGAGCAGCTGGGTAGGCAGTGATGCCACTTCCTGAGGCCGCAGGGCACCAATGCCCCCCCGAAGGCTGGGGGACCAGAGTCTAGGGGGAAACCAAGAGGTGTGCTTTGGCCCCGCCGAGTCTGAAGTGCCCGCTGGGCAGCCATGCGGGGCATCCACCAGGCAGGTGGTGTCCATCCAGAGCTCAGTGGGGGCTCAAGAGGCACGTGTGGGAGCCGCTGGCCTAGAGATGGCTCTGAAGATTTCTGTGGGACCGGGCATGGCCACCAAGAGGTGCAGACGAGGGAGAGAGCAAGGAAGGAGAGCGCCGTGGGGGCAAGAGTGCTTCCGGAACACTCTGCACCCCTGAGCTTCCACAGCTCCCCAGCGTTTCCGGGTTCTTAGGGGCACCAGGGGGCCTTGGCGCCCGCCTCTGCTCATCGCCACCCCCTTGCCTATCCCTCCGCACCCTCCTCAGCCGTCCTCACGTGAGAGCACCACCCCCGCCCTTCAGCTGCTGCAGGTCCCCTCAGGCCTGTGGTCCCTGGAGAGCGCTGCCTGGCAGCAGCCTCAGCTGTTGGCCCCTGTCATGGAGACGGCAGCAGCTGCAGGCGACGGGCATTTGTGACCGTTTGTCAGAATGCTCCCCTTCCTCCCCGGCCTGCCCTCCTGAAACATTTCTATCCCACAGCCCTGGAGATGGGGTCGTCTCAGGGTGGGAGGACCACGAGGGGACAGGAAGTGCTGCCTAGGCTCTGCTGAAGGGCCAGGCGTCCTCCTGGGAGCTGGCCCTCGTCCCCCACCCATGGTACCAACAAGGTACCCAACCAGGGGTCCCATTTGCCACATACTGTGCGCCCACACGAGTTGCCACTAGTCTTGATGTCTGCCCTCCGAGTAGCCCCCATGGTGCAGGTAGATGTCACCCCCATTCGGAGGTGGAGAAATTGTCACACAGACACACTGGGTCACACAGCTGAGCAGGGGCACCGGGCTCCAGGGCCCGGGCCCCTCCTCCACCCACACCTGTCACACAGACACACTGGGTCACACAGCTGAGCAGGGGCACCGGGCTCCAGGGCCCGGGCCCCTCCTCCACCCCCCCCAGGTGGGCAGGGGGGCTCCCCCTACGCTCCCGCAACGATGGCAGGGCTTTCCCCACACCACCCGCCGGCCCCATCCCCCCAACAGCTTTGTTTCCATTTCTCTGGTGGTTTCTTGCCCACGCCTGCCGGTTCCAGCTGGGCCTAGGCTGGAGACGGCCTGCCTGCTGTTTGCGCCTCGTGGTTTGGCCTCTCTGTTACCAAATGCTCTGGGATTTTTTGGAGCCGGGTGTGGGGAAGAAAGTTCTCCAGTCTGGCCCCAAGGCGTAGCTGGCGTTTGGCAGGGAACAGGAAGCCAGACCCTGATAACGCCGAGTTTAGTGTGAGTTCAGTGACCTGGGGTGGACATATTTCAGGCTCGTTGGCTCCAAATGGGGCTTATTTTGTCCAGCACCTGAGACCTTGAGGCCTCAGACCCATTGTCCCCACAAGCCTGAGGCCTGGTCTGTCGATGCTTCCCTGGGGCAGAGACCAGGAGGAGGTGGGGAAGGGGTGCCATGCTGACACCGGTCCCCAACAGGCAGGGCTCGGGGGCCACACCCCACCCTCCTTACCAACCACTTGCCAGCTCCTTGGTTTGCTCTTCTTAGTTTCAGGAGCCTTGGGATCCTTAAACTCCCAGCAGGAAGGCCTGCTCATCCCCTCAAGGCCAGGCCTCTGTGGGCAAGCGGCAAACTAGGGAGGTCAACAGGCTTCCCTGAGGCGTGTCCTTGATACCTGCCTGTCACTGTGGACGTCACCTTGGCCCAGGGACCCTGGGAAAACTGCTTTCCTCCTCCATTCTCTGGGTTCCCTGTCTTCCCTTTTATAAAATGGAGACTCCTTTTCACAAAGCCCAAGACTTATCCCCCCCAAGACTCTTATTAGAGGAGAGATAGTGGGAAGAAGTGGCCCTAAGTAATCCCGTGACCTTGGCCAAGTCACTTGGCCTCCCCACCAGAGTTTCATTATCGGAACAGCGAAGGTAAAACTCGGGGTTGCCTTAGGGTTTGTTCATCCCACGAGCACCAACTGAGCCCCTGCTACGTGCAGGCACCACTCCAGGCATGGGTGGCACCATGAACAGCCCAAACTAGCTCCTGACCCAGGGGCTCTCACGGGGGAGGGTGGGGGGACACCATCCACGGATGACCAGAATGCATATGTCACGTGAAGATAATCTCTAGCCAGAAAAGGAAAGCCAGGAAGGGACACAGAGCGCCTTGGCACATGGGGAGGCGTTGCTATACTATGTGGGAGATCAGAAAGGCACCTCAGGGCTCCTGGGGCCACACTGGCAGCCAGAGGCCCTGCTGCTTCTCTTGGGACCCCACTTTCTGGCCTGGGGTGGGCGGGGGGATAGATGGAGGCCGTGGGGCTCTGGAGTTGCCGAGAGGCATGGAGCCAGGTCCTCTGTGAGCAGCCCCCTCGGCCCCCCGCAGGCCCCAGAGCCAGGGTCCCACACCAGGCCCAGGAAAGAGCAGGTTTCCTCAGGAGAGGGCTTGGAGCTGCGGCCCAGGGGCCTCCAGAGCCTCCACTCGGCCCGTTTTCCAGGCAGGTCTGCCTACTGCTGCATGCGGAGAACATCTTCCACTCGATGGCGGACATCCTGCTCCGGGAGGAGGACCTCAAGTTCGCCTCGACCATGGTCCACACCCTCAACACCATCCTGCTGACCTCCACTGAGCTCTTCCAGCTGCGAAACCAGCTGAAGGACCTGAAGACCCCGGTACTCCTCGCCCGCGGGCTCCAGCCTCGTGTCATCTATGTGCCCATGGGCGCGGCCATGCCAGCCCACCCCTCGTTACCCGGAGGTTGGCGGGGAGGAGACGAGAATGTGACCTGAGGTCTCCCTGGTCCTCCGTCAAATAGGGGTCCCCCTGGGTTGGCTGCGTGTAAGTGCCAGCCACGGGAGGGAGTCACAGCGGGTTTCCTTGGAGCTACCCGCTCTGGAGGTCTCTGCCCACAGAAGACTCCAGACCCCGCTCCAGGTCCACGTGCCCTTCCTGACACCCCGCCCCCCACCAGCACTGCCCCCTCGCACACAAGGTAGGTTGGGTTCCGAGCCCGCCTTGCAGGACCCATCAGGGTCAGACCTGCCGGGCCGTGTCACCCAGTCAGGGTCAGGCCTCTGGATTGCAACCCTGCTGGGGATCCGGGGTCGTTGCTCTCCTCACCCTCCTTGGCCAGGACCGCGCTCTCCCACAGAGGGACGCGTCTGTCTTACAGGATGCCCTGTGTAAGCCAGGGTGTGTCACAGTGCTGCCTGGCCCAGGCTTTCGGTGAGGACCCACCAGGGCTGGTCAGAGAGAGCAGGGAGGCGCTCACCATTCTACCGAACTGCTCTGGGGGGCACGGGTCAAAGGCCTCGCTCGGCCCAAAGGAGGGGGGCTGAGCTGCACAGGGCCCCCGGGGGTAGCCGCCATCCCGGACGTGCCGGCAGCTCCAGCACGTTTCATCTGGGCTGTGGTCACCACCTCCCCAGCTCAGACCCTGCCTCGGCCCTCTCTCAGGGAGTCTCCAAGACATCCAAGCCTGAGCCTGAGGGCATCTGGGGCCGAGCCACTGGGAATGACCCAGGCCGCACCCCTGCCTTCTTCCTGTGGTTCCTTCCAGACATTCGCAGAGGCCTAAAGAATGTTCCTCAGGGCAGGGGCTCTGGAGTGTGGGCTCAGCTCCTGGGCTGGTTCCCGAGTGCAAGGTGGGCTGCAGAGGAGGGAAGAGATGGCATTTGAGGACGCTTCCTCCCCGCCCCCCTCCGGTCACACCCGCTCCCAGCCCCACAGGCTCCAGGACCACCGGCTGTGGAGAGGTCGATTACTGTTGTTTGCCGAGGGCAGAAATACCAGCACAAAGGACCGGCTCACTCCCGAGCAGGCCCTCACAGCCATCACCACGTGGCTCTGTGGGACGGAGAGTAATGACAGGGTCTGAGGAGGAGCTGTCAGCGTTTCCTTTGTGACAGCTCGGTCCCAGCTGGGCTCCCTGGTGCTCTGAGAGGGGCCCTGAGTCTGGGCCGCGCACCCGCGGGGAAGGAGCGGGGGCTCGATTAACTGCTCACACCTCTCCCCGCTCAGGAGAGCCAGAACCTGTTCTGCTGCCTGTACCGCTCCTGGTGCCACAACCCAGTCACCACGGTGTCCCTCTGCTTCCTCACCCAGAACTACCGGCACGCCTACGACCTCATCCAGAAGTTGTATCCTTCACTCACTGTTCTTCCAGCCCAGCCTCTGAGGGACAGGGGCGGGGGGCGGGGGGCCGGTGCTCCCTTCCCACCCACGTGGTGGCCCGATTGCCATCCTTCTGCCCTGACCCTACACTCTGCCTCCAGGCCTTGGGACATCAGGACCCGTGAGGGCACAGTGAGGGGTGGATTCCAGTAAACAGGGTCATCTAGGGCCTTGTAGAGGGGAGCTGGCCCTGGAGAAGCTTTGTGAGCTGGGGATCAGGGATGGGTGCTTACCTAGGTAAGGGTGCCCCGAGAAAGAGGCAGGGTGCCCTCTGCGTGGTGCTGGAGCAGGGTGGGGAGAGAAAGCCCGGGAGCAGGGGGGCTGCCGGGCTGCAGCAGGCCGGTAGGTGAGGAGCTCAGGACCTTTGGGGGCCACAGAGCCAGAGCCCGGCAGAGGACACGACAGGGAGAAGCAGCAGGCTGGAGAGGAGGCCTCAGGAAGACGGAGCGCCGCTCAGGGCCTGCCTCAGAGAAAGGCATCCGTGGTCGGCTTTTTGTTTGAAACACCGTAAAGCAAACCAGCTTCCTCTGTGAATGTCTGGCGTGTGACCCGGATTGGACGGACATTTAGGATGCAAAATTGGTCTCCTTCCCTGATGGGCCAGGAGTTGGGGGGTAAGGAGAGAGGGGCCCTGAGGTGCCTCCACTGAGTCAGCTGTGGCCTCGCCTGGCTTCCTCAGGGTGCCCGCTCTCCTTCAAACTGTGATTTGCTCCTCTCCGCCACTGGTGTGACCCGAGGACTGCAGGCCCCAGGCTTGCAGCAGCCCTGACCTTGGCCCTGCTGACAGGCATCCACTCAGGCAGGAACAGGGGCCTTTCCTGCCCAGCCCTACCCCATAGGCTGCAGGGCGGTGATGAGAGCCTTTCAGGGCCTGGAGGGCACAGAGGAGAGAGCTGCCGGGGCAGAGCCGGTGTGCCACGCGGGGGGACAGCTGTGCCGCTCTTCATTTAGAGGGACAGAGAGGCAGGGGGACAATAGGCTGCTGTCCTTTGTGTCCTGATCCTGATCAGGTGGAAACACGCTCTGTGCCTGGAAGCCAGGGCCCAGTGGGAGGTGTGCTCTGTGCCGCTGGGTCGAGCCCCTAGGGCCCAGCTCCCCGGCTGCCCCCGCCCCCCAGGGAGGCAGGCTGCCCTGGCCAGTGGTCCCACTTCCCTTGACCACCCACCCAGCGGGGACCTGGAGGTCACTGTGGATTTCCTCACGGAGGTAGACAAGCTGGTGCAGCTGATCGAGTGCCCCATCTTCACATGTGAGCGCCCTGCCTCTGGCCTCTGCTGGCCTGGAGGGAGGTGGGAGGGAGAGAGAGCAGCTCTTGGCTGCCACTGGGGAGGGAGCGAGAAACAGTCACCCAGGGGTGCTTCTAGAATGTCAAGAACGTAAGGATGGGGATGACAGGGCTGAGGAGGTACACGGGGCTGGGACATGCGGCATCAGAGCGTGGGTCCTGCCCGTGTGCCTTAAGGCAGGGCTCGACACAGGCCAGCGCTGAGGGCGGAACCCACCTGAAGAATAGTGTCACCTCTGCTGGGGGGAACTGGGGCAGTGCCGTGGGGGGGCAGGTGGAGCAGCCGTCCCAGAGCTGTCCCCGGCCACCCCTCCGAGCACGCTGCCCTCTGCCGTGGCCCTTGGAAGCTGGGGGCACCCTGGGCCCACCCGCAGGTTGCTCCCTTGTGCCCAGGAGCCACGCCCTCGTCCCTCTGCAGAGCAGAGCTGGCGTTTGCCAGGAGCTGCCTGATTGTAACACCCGGGCTGAATGTGCAAAGTGGCAGCTGGCTGGGGTGAGTGCAGCTCCTGGCGCCTCAGCACATACAGTGCCCGCTCCCCAAGGCAGGCAGGCAAGTCTCTGAATGACGCTCGTGTACTTACGGCCTGGTAGCGAAGCCGGGAGGCAGCCGTGCCGGTGGCCACCCTCCTGCCGGGCTGGTCACCCAGGCCTCCTGCTGTGGTGGCGCCCCGATCTGCCCAGGCCGAGCCCATCGGCCTTCACCCTGGAGCCCAAAGGCAAACCCAGGGGCCGAGGGGCCCCCTCCCATCCAAACAGAAGACAGCTTCTCCAAACAGCCAGCCATCACAGTAACAGATGCCCGGGGGACCCAAGAGCAGGAGGGAGACCCTGTTCCCAGGGCAGTGCATCGAAGCCTGTCACAAATGGCCCCCTGGCCTGACATTTCACTTCCCCAAAGGCTTCCCAGGGCAGCCTGACACACGCTAGCCTGGGGGCAGGTCCAGCTTGACCCTAGAGAAGCCACGAACACCTTCTCTCCAGGCCCAGGGCTTTGGTGGGGTGACCACAGCAGACATCCCCTGGTCCTGCCCAGCACCCATTCCAGCCCTAGATTGCCTAGACCCCCCTGGTAGCTGGCTTGGCCCCCATAGCCCAGCTTACCCAAGGCCCAGGACCAGATTCAAAACAGGTCCCCGCCTCTTCTGGAGTCGCTGGGCCTGGGCAGGGCTGCCACCTGGGGCGAGGGGAGGGGCTGCTGTGAGAGGCCCCTGCTTCCTGGCTCACCCTGGCCCCAAGGCCCCCGTCCAGCTGCTGGGGTGACATGGTCTCTCCAGAAGTTTGTGGTTTGTCCTCCACCAAGAATGCCTGAGACTGGGCCTTAGAGAAGGTAGAAACGAGTGATGCTCCTGGAAGGGCTCAGAGGAGAGCCACGTGGGCCTGTTTATCTGGGACGGATGCTGGGCAAGACCCGGGTGCGTCTCCCCGCCGTCTGGTGGGGGAGGCAGGGCTGGTATCTGACATGGATTTCCAAAAGCATCTACCAGACACTCAGGGGCTTGATGTGTGTTTGGTCGCACACCAAAGCGTTTTTCCATCCTGCCCTCCCTTAAAGCTGCCCTAATCCAGTCTTTCTCTCCAGCTCACCCTATTTATAGCTCTCTCGTGCTGGCACGTGCAGAGCAGACCCAGGAATCTGTTACGCTACAGGCCCCAAGCCCCCTCATCGCCAGGGAGGCAGTGAGTGCTGGGGGAGGGGACAGGCCTGGCAGCAGGTTGGGGGTCGCCAGGCTGAGGTGACTGTTGGGAAGATCAGACGGAAGGCAGGTGGGCAGGTCAGAAGAGGCAGGGGGATCATGGGGACGGCTAAGACGCTGCAGGAGGAGAGGCAGGCATGTCTGGCTGGGAGGAGCCCCGGCCACCAGGCTGGCCCTTTCCTGGCCAGGCTGAGGTGCCACCCAGAGCAGTGCCTGACCCCTGCCCTCTGCCCTCCCGCAGATCTGCGCCTGCAGCTGCTGGATGTGAAGAACAACCCGTACCTGATCAAGGCCCTGTACGGCCTGCTCATGCTGCTGCCCCAGAGCAGCGCCTTCCAGCTGCTCTCCCACCGGCTCCAGTGTGTGCCCAACCCCGAGCTGCTGCAGACGGGGTAAGTGCCCAGCTCGTGGGGCCGGGGCTCTGTCAGCGAGCAGGGCCAGGGCCGGCCGGGCTGGCAGGGCCTGGCGAGCGGGGAGTTTTAAAGGGGCTACCAGGGCCCGCCCTCAGCTTGGCATCACACCTCCTGTCATTGCGGACACTGTCTGCCCCTCAGCCACTTGCCCGTGGGTTTCCATATCAGAGCACCGGGTTGGGAGATTCTGGGAGCGTCTGTGCGGTGGTAGGTAGTCGGAATACCTTCTCCCAGCAGTCAGGGTGGAGTTAAATTTAAAAAACCCAGAGCGTGCTGGCGTGACCCAAACAGAGGCCTCTGGGGAGAAAGTCCAGAGGGGAGGAATTCGTGCCCCAGCTCAGCCACTTCGTCCCAGGTGGTACATGGGCAAGAGAGCTACACAGGGTCCCTCCCAGGCCTCAGACAGCCCTCCTTTCCCATCTGTAGCAGAGGCTCAACGCTTGGCCACTGAGTGACCCTGGCACCGCTAGGACCCTCCCAATCTCCTCCTGACTGGAGTGGGAGGCAAGAGTGCCCCCGTGGCTACCCTGCTTGCGACCTGTCCGCGGGAATCATGTGTCCCAGGCGCTCTGCCGTGGAGAGGCCCAGCACGGCAGCCTCTGGGGAGGAGGGCTGCAGCCCCTCGGGGGCATCCAGGCTCCCACCCTGAACCCACTGCTGGCCCGGTCCCCAGAGCCTGTTGGGTCATGTCTATATTTGGTAACCCTTGGAGGCTTTGCCTCATCCACAGGCATTTGGCATCAGAGATGGAAAATTTCACTTGTCGGGTCGCCATGGAAACAAGCAGAGCCACTGAGAAGATTTACGCTGAATGGAGCGCACCCAGCTTGCATCAGATGCCCTGTGTGTCTAGAATTCCCTCCCAAGCTGTTAGACCCCCTTGGCAGGCCTGGCGCCTCACCCCCCGCCAAAGATCTCGGGCCTTTGCCCTTGCCATGGATGCAGGCAGCCTTGAGATGGGCGTGCCCGGCATTCTGGGCTCCTGATCCGAGCCCCTGTGCCCTCCGTCTCCCAGGGTCTAGGCCACCACCACCCCTCCCACCTGACCTGGTCTCTCCAGGGGCTGGGCGTGGGGCCCCTAATGTGCTGTCGGCCTCAGGCCGCTGGAGGGGCTGGGAGCCCCCAGCAAGTGTGGCCCCCAGGACAAGGCCCAGCTCCTGCCCACCCTGCCCCTTTCCCCAGACAGCAGCGCTCAGGGGTGGAGGGCTGGTCCCCGTCCCAGCTGCTCCTGGTGCCACCGGGTAATCCTCAGGGGAAGGCATTCAGCGCACTGAGTGTCCCAGGGAAGCGGGAGCAGCCGCAGAGTTAGGTGTGCATTTTATTCCCTTGGCCAGAGCACCTCTATCTCCTGGGAGTCGGAGAGGCCCTGACGCCACGCCGCGCTTTGCTGCCTTGGCCTCTGCTGGCCTTTCCAGTGCCCAACGGGGGTTAGGGTCACCCTGGCAGCCACTTAGGAGGGAAGGTACAGCTGAAAGTGAGAAGGAGGCAGGAACGGCTGCTTCCCAGTGACCTCTGGGCCAGGCCACAGCCCCTGTGCTGCCGAGGGCCAGTCCCTTCTCAGAGCTCTGCCTGCTACATCTCCTCATATAGGAACATCCTATGGAAAAGGAAGGCAGGCTCAGAGTAGTCGGACTCCTCCCTGCGTTCCCTAAGCCAGAATAGAGCAAGTCTGCAGAGGAAAGCTGGGGAAAATGAGGCTTTCCCCCAGATCTCCCATGGTCAGAGTCAGGAAGTCTTGAGCCAAAGGGCTGAGGCGTCTGGGTCAGTGGATGGTTCGCAGGCCTGGACTAGGATCCGGTCCGAGCTCTGCTGCAGATTTGCTCTGTGACCTCAGGCAAGCCCCATGCCTTCTCCGGGCCCTTGGTTTCTTCATCAGTAAGTGAGCATTTGGACTGAATGTATCCTTGAGGTTCCGCTCAGTCTTCAAGGCTTTGGGTTCCCAGCCTTTCTTTGCAAGGACCTAGGAAGAGCTGTCATAGGAAAAGGCAGCGGAGCCTTGGGCAAGGAAGGGGCCTCAGGAACAGCTGGGGGCAGGGTCAGGTTGCAGGGTTGGGCACAGAGGGACAGCTCCCACCCTGGAGAGGGGGCTGAGGACAGTCTCAGCCCCGGGAGAGGCAGGCAGCTGGAAGACAGCGTCAGGTTGCCCGACAGGCCCGTGTGCTGGGAACAGCTGGGGGAGTCTCTGCTCCTTGCCCATCCCCCCCCCCTTCTGTGCACTCAGGGTGCCGGCAGAGCTAGGGAATCCTGGCCCTCCACTCAGGCTTCTGGGCCACTCCCCAAGGACCGTCTCCTCACTGAGGCAAGAGGGAGCCTCTGAAGGAGAAGCTGGTGACAGGTGCGTGGGTCCGGTGGCAGGAGAGAGGGCTGGCTTTGGGTTCTGGAACCCCAGCTCTGCTGCTGGCTGGGTGTCCCCTAGCCACTCACTGCCTGAGGGTTGATATAAACACACAGAGAACATGAAGGCCTGAGCAGCGGCCATGCCCACTATGACTAGCAGGGAGAGGCCCAGCCTCAGTGCTCAGCAGAGTCCCCGTACCCATGGACATACCCCTCCCTGCTACCAAGACTTCCGGCCAGGAAGGGTCTGCCCAAATGGACGCTGAGTCATGGGGGGGGGGGGG